CTCTCTCTCTCTCTCTCTCTCTCTCTCTCTCTCTCTCTCTCTCTCTCTCTCTCTTCCTTGAGATGGGTCTCACCATGTTGCCCAGGTTGGTCTCCAACTCATGGGCTGAAGTGATCCTCCTGCCTCAGCCTCTCCAGTAACTTGGCCCATAAATGTCTAGTCTTTCTGCTGTCTTCAGGCCCATTCCCACCTTTGCATACTGTATCTGGCCCCCAGATTGGGTTTGCAGGCCCTCACTCTAGCTGCAGATGGTGGGTCCTGATGATGTGTCAGAAGTTGGTGGAGATGTGAGGGACACTTGGGATTCAGAAAGGCAAAGAACTGGATGAGGCAGATGCAAGTGCCAGCCAGTTAGGAGAGGCTGGGCCAAAGCCTGAATGTTTGGCTTTTTCCAAATACTTGCTGTTTTGGCTCACTCTGTTGGGGTCCACAAGGTACTGAGGTGATAGAATCAATGACCTGTTGGTCTCACATTAAAAAAGGAGCTGTGTTGGACTAAGAGGAAAGGAGGAAGTAGAGGGGATAAAGAAGGCTGTACCCCCAGGCCCAAGGCTGATTTCCCCCAGCGTGTCCCACAGCTCTTAGTAGCCTGCCTCTCTCTGAGGAAGGCTGGGTCATGGCTGGCACTGACGCTCTTCAGAAAGCCAATGAACTTCTAGATACCATATCTTGTTCACTTTTCAGCATACACAGTGCAAATGGGCAAATGTGCAGTCCTAAGGTAGCTGGTTAGACTGGGCGAGTTAGGGAAAGGCACACATTTACCTCACTTTTATTGCATCTGGATAACCTGGTCACCTAAATCCTCTCTTAGACGACACACAGAACTTGTAACATCTTCCTTTTATTTGCAGTGATAGGAGCAAGGAAATTATCAGAGAAAAGATAACACGAAGGCCCTCTGAAATGAATTAAAACCCAGAAAAGACAAGGAAAAACAAAATCTTGTTTTTCTTAAATCAGAACCAACTCCTTTTCTGCTGACTCCAGTCTGAGAGTCAGCCAAATATTTGGTGAAAAGAAGAGAAAGCTAAGGTCAAGGAAGGCTAAGAGTTCTCCCCACTCAATTTAGGAGCAGTTGCTGTGCACCTGGGCTCTTCTCTTTTCCAGGTGTTAAAGAGCTTCTCCTAATAAAATGGTGATTTCTTTAAAAAAGTCAGCTCTTCAGAGTCACCCAGTGCTCTGTCACCTGCCTCCGACCCAGAGGTCAGGCTCATCCACAGAGCGCAGAAAGCCACAAGATAAGGAGGGAGTCACATACCCTAGTGCAGAACCACTCAGTCACGTGACCCATGCACTTTTGCCCTGTCACAAATTGACCTTTCATGTTCATCTCTGGTGAAGCAATTTTCAGTCCTAAAACAATCTGAAGCATGCCTCTCATACCATGGCTTACCAACACCGAGACCTTGGTAACCCCAAGTGGTGCTGGTTTGCCATCTCTGGGTTCCCTATCATGCAACCTGTGGTTAATACTTTATTTCATATTACTTGTTTGGAGGTTTACAAAAAAAAAAGAAAGAAAAATTGAAAAACCCCTTGATTCCTTGTTTTTAATTTAAAAAATGAAACATAATCCCTAGTGTAAGAAGCCCGACAATTTGAGTGAGTTCCTAACTGGTTTAAGCATCGCAGCAGGCAATAGTAAAATGTTAAGTGCCTTAGAAAAAGTCAAAAGAAATGCATAAAGCAGTGCATGCATTTTGTTGACACAAAATTAAGACTGGGTTTGGAGAGGAATTACTTCATTTAAGTCACATTGTTTAAGGACAGTGAGTTATAAATGCAATATCTAGGCCAAGTATATAAACCACCTACATACTAGCATCACTTTAACTAGAAATGACATAATGTCACTAAATGAACATATTTATAAAATACTATACAATGCCTCTGCATTGGGTCAGCAGATGTAAACAAACAGCTAATTCAACTGGAGTTTAAAATATTATTTGAAGTTCATTTGTCATATACTCTTTTGCATAACATGCCAGTTCATCTTTCACAAAATCACAACTTGCCTACCACAGCTTGCAGGACTTGGTAGAGGAAGTACATCAGCTTATACAAATATTTTACAGTGGTCTGAAGGAATATGAAAAACAAAGTGGATCGGGAACAAAAATGCCCATTTCACGAGGAAGCTAAATAACATGGAATAGGGAACATAATTAATCCTTGCAACATGTGCTTCTTTATTGAATGTTACAGATTTATAAATGATTATAAAGCTGTCCTGTAACGTTCATTAATACAACCACATGCTACAACTATGCTGGGTTAAACACGGGTTACATATATGTTTACATATGTTTTATAATACAGCATTGCCCAACATATCTTATGGTATAGCCTACAGATATAGCATGATGGATGACTGGATAATATTTTATTATCTTTAAAGAAATTAAACAGCCCAAACATTTAGGAAGATTAGACTGTACAGCCTCAGAAAGAAGAAAAAAAAGTACTATCCAGTTATCTACCATAGTATCTATAGAAACCATATTTTAGAATACATTTTGAAACATTCAGAAGAAACACACTTTGTGTTTTTACAAGTACATTTTTTCCCATTTAATTATACTTATATATATTTTTTAAAAGGGGAACTTTCAAAGTGCTAAATATTGTCCTGGCCTCAGAAGCTTAGACTTAAAAAAAATCCAGTTCTGTAAAGTGCTGTGTTCTGACTGCTAATACACCTTTTGGCTTGCAGAAATACACAAACTAGCCATGCCAAGTGCACTCAGCTTTCCAGCTCCTCGTTCAAAGCCGTTATATTTTTCTAACGATAAATATAAAGTATGTTGGTTAATCAGGAAACCTTCACAGTCATTTTCATAAAACATCCTTAATTTTTTTTCCGAAAAGAACAAGCAATTTAGAACAAATCATTACCTATAGTAGTATATAAAAATTGGCACCTCTGAAGCAGATGATTAAACAGAAGCTATTTACTTCCTGGAGCTATGACTTTATTTACGGTCCTCAATAACTTGCTGCTCATGAGTTGCTTAATTCACATAGACAAGTAATTAATGCTCCCTCAATCAGGGACATGGTGGAATAAATGAGCTGAGCACAACCTGACTGTACAAGGCCACAGAATCGATGCCACGCTGGTGCACAGAGGACCCGGAAATGGAAAGAGACGGAGATCAACAACTCACACACACACACACACATGTGCACAGGAAAGAGATGGCTTGTGAGGATTACACAGTTTGTGTCTAAAGTCATTTGAATTTGGTTTATACATGTCACACACTTCACCAAAGATGTTAACGTTTAGTTTCATGCACAACCAAAGAACCAGGTGTTTACAAGATCAGGACTGTTAAGTATTTAGTTTCCCAGGTCCTGTTCCTTTTCTCTCTGGAAATCATGACGAATGGAAACACATGCGCTCATCATTTCTTTCCCTCACTTCCAATCTGGTCCAGAACGAGGCTCTGGAGGTGCTTGTCCTGCTCTATGGTCAAAGAATGGCTTCACCTCCTTGGATTCCTCCAGAGACTCCCACAGAGAGCCTTCAACTTTGTGAGTGTGCTCACCGCTTAAAACCATCAAAACATTAGCACGTAAGGGTATCCAACTAGTCACATCTAATCTAAGCAATGAAAATAATGAAACGGTGGTTCAAATCTGGTGCTGAGACTTGGCCTTCCTGAGAATCACAGGGAAATGGTCTTAAGATGTAAAGTGCCTATTGCAACTATACTGATTATGAGCAAATGTCATTCCTTTTTCTCATTATCAATCAGTATAGACCAGGAGGTTATGGACTTTTTAAAGTTATATTGCAACTTCACATGTATGTACATTTTTAGGGAGTTGGGGGAGAAGACAGTGTGTTCATCAGATCCTCCAAGGGACTCATCACTCTAGGAGGTTGAAAGACGGCTGATTTATTCTCAGACTGAAAGCGTGTCTACTGAGAGGGAAAACTCCAACATAGGGCCCAGTAAAGCGAAACTGTCTCCAGAACAATTATAAATGAAGGGCTTGGGTATTTGTTATTGAGTGCCCTACCTACTAAGGAGTATAAGGAATGCAGAAGGAATTCTTTACACACGTGACCTTGTCACTTTGTACCAAAAAGCTTGTTCAGTTTTTTTCTTTTTTAATATTTAAAGGCTAGAGGTTTTTGTCAATAAACTTACTTGATTTCTCAAAATGGGATATAACCTAATGTTTACAACTACAATTGAAAAAAATAACCAGGTAGGATCTTGGGCCAGGAACATGAAGTTATTTTTCTTAAAGGTTTCATTCTTTTTAAAATTTCAATGATCCAAATAGGAATCTGAAGATTTGGGGTCAAGATTTCTTTATGTCACTTCAAACCATGACTGTGACTTTAGAAGAGAAGCTTATGCTTATGCGTCTATTCTAGAGTTCATCACACTAGCTGGTTTAGAATTGCACATCTATTCAGATTGTACTTGGTGTAATAGCTTTGTGTGGGAGAAACCAGAATAAAGGCAATATCATGAGAGTGAGTGTTTTTGGACAAAAAGGGGCAGAAGGCAGGGTGAGTCATTTTGACAACTGTTATTTGGTACATGGAAAAGTTAAGGTGATCAGAGATTTAAAAAGTCATAGTTTCAACATTTGGTCTAATGGTAAAATGAACTCTTTCAATGGAACTTTTTGGATATTAAAAAATCTTGGTTATACCTCCAGGAGATAGAAAAGTCCAAGCCTCTTAAGAAAGCTCTGTATGTCTGTTTATATACTATATATATAAACATGTGTTGCTATGTAAATGCATATATATGTATATAAGCAGCATATACTAGAGAACTCTTTATATGGTTTATTTGCTTTCTATTTTGGCCTACTATATCTTTTTTTTATAGCTCTGTATATAAGAAAAATATTCATGGCATGCCTGCAACTGATGGCTTTGGATTGATACCAAACTCCTAGTCAATTCTAAAGTTATTTATGGTTTTGAAACTTCCTTAAAAAGTACTTTGGAACATTTCCATAAAAAAAGATACCAGCCCTTGAAAAATTCCAATTAAATTTATGCTGAGCTCAGATTAGATGGCAAAACTCTAGGTATGAAAATAGCCACATATAACCATGTTTTTGTATACAAAATGGCCATACGATGAGTGGTGTGAAAAATTGGCAGTTACACCTTGAGGTGATCAAAGGACGCAGTAGGTGGAGTCATGCATATGAAGAAGGTCACACAGCAGCACAACACATGACATGAATGGAGAGAATACAACAATATTCCATATGGCAATTTTAGGTTAGTTCTGCTCACTGTTTTTTTTTTTTTAAGTTCAACATTACATATTCAATGAGTGAATTCACTGATGACAGGAGAGATACAAAATAAATTAAGAAATATAAAGTTATTTAATTACATTCATCCTGAGCTTGCTTGACTATACTGGAATGCCCACCATATATGATATACATCATGTGACTGTTGCTTCTAACATCAACTCTTCTATCATTTCCATTGCAAGACCAAAAGGCATTTCTGTTCCCTTATTTTCTTCAAAAAAGATAAAACAGTTGTGGCACCAGAAGTGAATATATAAGAGACAGGTGAACTATGACTGTTACCTTGTTTTTTTCTTTATAATGACCAATTACAGAAGTGTTGGCATGAGAAGGATGTGGGACGTTAGGTAGAACTGCTTGCTGCCGGCTTATACTGAATAAAAAGGATGCTCTTCATCAGTCACCAGTGATGGAGCCAATGTGAAAAGAAAACAGAATTGAAGTTTAGAATATCTCATTTTGTATGCTGGGTATTTTATTTTATTTTGCAATTTAGCCCTGCATCCTAAAGCTCTTGATAATGGGTAGAAATCACAAGATGCCTCCTGGCGTTGAGAGTGCTTGAAGCCCCTTGGTTCCCCAGAGCTCATGGCTTTCTGCAGTGACTGGTGATACACATTCATCTCTAACCCTTCTTCTCCCCCCATCCCCTCCCTACCCAGCAAGTGTGAACATGCTCCAACTACCCTGTGTTTGGCACTGGGTCAGATCAAATGTTTTCTTGATCTGTGGCCCAGAAGTCACCTTTGATTTAACATCTCCCAACACATTGCTTGTTTTGCTCAGCTAAGAATAAAGCGGGTGTGATTCAAGGAAGGGGGAAAAAGGTGGAGTTTGGGGAGAATTTAGGGCTGGATTCTCGAGCCTCCTGCAAGGCATGGTAAGAAGAGTTAGTTGTGCTTGCTTTCAAAGCTGTGGAAAGCCGACGTTCTGGACAGTCTCCTCATGGACAGGCTGTCCCCTCGGCCATCCGGCTTGGAGGATTTACTCCTCTGGAAGGGATTTCGCAGGCTTGCCGTGTTCCGCTGCCTGTCGAGCTTGTCACTGATAGAGAAGCTCTTCCTGGTGTGTGCATATGGCACGCTTGGCTCCTCTGCTGAGTAGCTGTTGGCACGCTCTATCTTGGGAACCGTGATGTTGTTGGATAGGTTTCTGTCTGAGTTGTCACCCTCCTGGGAGGACATCGCGATGGCTGCTCTCCGGCCTCTGGCCTCATTCTCCTCACTGTCAGAGCTAGGGTGGCTCAGTTCTGCTTCTCGCTCAGGATGACAGCAAGATAAGTCCTCTACTTTATCGCCAAGACCTCCGGGGAACGTGGCTCTGTCTGCAATCGCCTGAGGGGTATTGACACACCTCGTGTCAATACAGTCCGTAATACTTGTATATTCTGCTGTTTTCACAGGCACCCCAAAGTTGGCGTAATAACTCCTCGAAGGAGAAAACATAAAGCTATGAGATTTCACTATGGGGGCCTCTTCTAGAAGAAAGGGTGTGGCGGCTAGGTAGCGGCTACTCTTGGAACGCTCAATGGTGTGATACATAGGGGGGTCCGAGTCCCAGGGGTTTTGGCATTCTGGAATGTGGGTATAGTCTGAAGAAAAAGATCTAGTGTCCATGGAGGTGATGTCTTCGAAATCGATGCTCCGGCTTGGAGGTCTGTCTGTGGGTGCAAGGGTTACATAGGCACTGCTTGAAGGGGCTGTGGAAGGTGCTGGAACCGAAAAGCTTGTCTCTCCCAACCCAAGGATGTTCATGGAATTGTCCAGAGGGTCTATGTCACAGTGAAGCTCATCCATGGCAGAGACATAGATGTCTATGCATGACGATGGTCTTCTAGAATCAGGAACAATGGCCAAGGTGTTTGCAGGGGCTGCAGGAGCTTTGGATTCTTTTGCTACTGAGTGGGAACTAGTAGCTCGGTGTAGGCTCAGGGACCTTTCTTTAAAAATACTTTCCAACTTTTCTATACCACCTTTGTCTTTCATATTGACTGAATAGAAAGAATGGCTTCGCATACGGGGCATTAAGGTTGGAGAGGTTGGGGACATGGTCTCCTCACCTGCAGGATCTATACTCTCTTGGAGCTTGAAGGTGTTTCCCTCCTGGCTGTTGAAGCTGCTCTGGCGGACGATGTAGGCTGCGTCTGTGCAGTCTGAGGAGGTCCTCGAGCGTATCTTGTTCGACTCAGCTCGCTCCAGACCTGTCAGGCGCTCCAGGGCTGTGGCCATGCGCCCAATGAGGTCCTCAAGCTGTGCCAGCCGGATGTCCACGGTCTGGAGTGAAGCCTTCATGGAGTGCTCTCTCTCATTGACCTCCTCCAGCCGCATGGACATGTTCTCTACCCTGTATGAAAAGGAGAGAATGACAGTCCCTTGGGTCAGGTTCCTCTCCTGGGGGTTTAGAGAGCAAGGATAGAGGGCATCAAAGCTCAGCTCACCTAGAGGCCACCAAGACTCTTTTCCCAGAGGGAATCTGAGGGATGACAGGTAGTTAGAGGGGCTGAGGAGAAAAGAGTGGCATTGATGTGTTTGCTGAGAAATAGAATTAAAATCTTTTTGTGCTGGAGGATCATCCAATCTGTTTGTTTGTTTGTTTTTGGTACTGAGGATTGAACTTAGAGACATTCACCCACTGAGCCACATCCCTAGCTCCATTTTGTATTTTAATTAGAGACAGCATCTCACTGAGCTGCTTAGTGCCTCGAAGTTGCTGAGGCTGGCTTTGAACTTGCAATCCTCCTGTCTCAGCCTCCCAAGCCTTTGGGATCACAGACATGCACCATTGTGCCTGGCTCGTGTGTGTGTGTGTGTGTGTGTGTTTTGGTGATGCTGGGGATTGAACCCAGGGAGGGCCTTATGCAAGTGAGGCAAGCACTCTATCAATTGAGCTATATCCCCAGCCCCTCCATTGTCTTTTTTAAAAAATTTGTTTCAATATGGGACCATACTGTTTTTTCCCAGGCTGGTCTTGAACTCCTGGACTCAAGTGAGCCTCCTGCTTCAGCCCCCAGAGTAGCTGGGACTATGGATATGCACCGCCAGGCCTGGTGTAGTAGGTTTTGTTGTTTTAGCTTTTTTGTTTAACATATCCTAGGTGCTGGGTTCTATTAACTTGCTGGAGCTAGAAGAACAAGAAAGGGTAGAGCAGTTTTATCCCTTTTCTATTATTTTCAGGGCCATTTATATACGGTTGATATTTGAAAAAGATAAAGATGCTCTTTTGGCATAATTGCACACGAATGATCACTGGTCCAAGAGCTGTGCAATCTCTCCTCACTGCCTGTACCGTGGGGCCTCTCTCCCATGACCCACCTCCCTTTGGCCCCAGAATCCAATGTCAGAGAAAACTAGCAGGTGAGAGATGGAGCTGAGGTGCCAACAGCTGGCAGCAGAAGACCTGTTGTAGGCAGGAAGCTGGACACAGACTGAGGAGCCCAAGGAGGACACAAGGAAGTCAGGAAGAAGAGGTTCTTCAGGGAAAGTCAGGAGAAGCTGGCAGGAGCCCCAAGAGTGAAAACAACACGGTCCCAGGGAATGGAACCAGGGGAGGAAGGCCTACACAACAGGGCTGAAGAATCATTCTTCACCAACTTTAGTCTCCTCTGGGCTCTCAGGTGGGTTGAAATGTAAGCCTTTTCTTTTGGTACTGGGGATTGAATTTACAGGCACTATGCCACTATCTTTTATTTTGAGATAGGGTCTCAGTAAGTTGCTAAGGCTGGCCTCATACTTGGGCTCCTCCTGCCTTAGCCTCTAAGTAGCTGGCATGTGCCACCATGCCTGGCTGGAAAGTTAGTCTTGCCTAAAATAATAATAATAATGAATTGTCTCATGCATTTTCCTGCAGAACTCTGGGTGTTCTTGACTATGTAAACATCCAATTGTCTGAGACATTTAAGTCATGGACCTAATAGGGTTTTTTAAAAAATAAAAGGGGTAGTGATTTTTTTAAAAATGAAATATCCTAGAGTCCAATTTACATGTTTAATATGTAACCAGAGTATTTCCCTTACTCTTTTAAAAATTCTTCTTGAAAAGTTAAGTTAAACAGGTATGTATCCCATATAAATAGGCCTGAGGAGCCAACCAGGGGTTTTGGGTCATGATTATAGCCACTAGTTGCTGATTTTGATCAAATAACTCAGAATTTAAAATGGAGGTGATGAGAACTTATGGATCAACAGGGATCCCCAAGGTGACATACAGTGACCAAGTATAAAAAAAAAAAGAAAAAGCCCTATGGAAAACAAGAGGTTCCATGCAAGGAACTCTTATTTATCTTTCCCTCTCTGAAATCTCCAAATCTTGAGTGGCTCATTATGGCATAATCACAACAGGGTCCAGGAACACACGATGTGGCAGGTGCCCAGGAAAGGGAGCAAGCTTTCAGTGTTTCTAATTTCAAATCTCTGTATTGGGGTTGCCTAACATAAAGGTTGAATTATGTAATGTTCTCTGTACTATGTAGAATGTGCACAGGTAACTTAGAATGATTCAACCACATGTATCTGTCCCAATGTGTATCTACATAATACACATATGTGTATCTGTCTCTTCTCTACCAACAGAATGCAATCAGGACATGTGACATCTGCTGCTGCTCCGACTCAGAGAGGGCATGTCCTGGAGATGTGTGAGATGGGCAATATGGATCGACTCATCCTTTGGTCACACTCTCTTCCCTCGGGCACCCCAATGTTTCTGTTGTGCTGAGTGCAGTTTTGGTGTTGAAAGATATTTCTTTTTAATATGCTTCCAAAGGCAAACAAAACAAAATAAAACAAAACAAAAAAGGACAGCAACAGGAAACAATCAAAATAAAATCTCCAGACAAGTGCAGAAGAAGCCACAAAACAGAATGAGGATTGGCGCAGGGTACCTGGGCTTGGTCATGAGGGCATGTTGATTCTCCAGGCCTATTACTCCAGAATGCAGGGAGGGTAGGCTCTACACTCTGTTCTGGGTTTCTGCAAATTGCTCACCTTTCTCACCCTCTCTGAGGATGGGGCTCTGTAACCACCCAGACAGAACTGGGTCTTGGGGAAGGGTTTGCAGACACAGGCTCCCACCCAGTGCTATAGTTCCCTACTGTTTCTCTATAGAAGGAGTTGGTGACATGGTCACAGTGCGTTCACATGTGCTACTGTCTGCAGCTCCTCACTCTAGTTCCCCGAAGAGACAAAGACTTCCTGCCTTCTTCTTCTCCTTCACCTTCTTCTTCTTCTTTTTTTTTTTTTTTTTACTTAGGATTACACCTAGGGGCACTATATCACTCAGCTACATTCCCAGTCCTCTTTGCTTTTTATTTTGAGACAGAGTCTTGCTAAATTTCCCAGGCTGGTCTTGAATTTGCAATCCCCTTCCTGCCTCAGCCTCCGGAGTCTCCAGGATTACAGGTGTGCACCATAGCATCTGGCTTTTCTGGCATCTTAACACTCCTTCCTCCCGACCTTTTTTTTCCTTCAAGGTCTAGGGCTTTCCCAAATTCAAAGGCATTTCAAAGGCCTGTAGATATAAGCTTTGGAAAGATGCCCGAGCAATGGTTATGTGCTTACATGGAATAATTTTCTGGGACCCACATAGCTATCTGTCCATTAATAAATAATTTTTTCCAAGGCCTCAGAATGGGAAAGACCTTCAGATTTGTAGCTATTTCCTCTGCTTTCCATTGCTTCACATGATATCATCACAAAATGCTCTCTTTTTAGTGACAGATGTGTATAAAATCTGCATGGCTTTAAATTTTTTTACTACTGACTTGGTACCTATGGATACAATCACTCAAATGCATACACACACACACACACACACTTACACACACACACACACCACACACACGCACACACACACATATTCATTTAGACTGCATTCTCCAAAGAAATAAAGGGCCAGGGTTATTCATTTAATTTCTACATTCAGTAGAGAATGTATGAAGTGGATAAGCAGGCAAAAAATGTCATGTTTTTCCAAAAATGTCATTTTATGAAAGCTAAAAGTGACTGTCTTGAATCTTAGAATCCTGATTCATATTAGATAAAGTCATCAATATATATTTTTCTACACTATTTATAAGTAGCTTTTGCCATTTTCATATTGCAAATGGCTAAAATGTAAATCTACACTCATTCTTTGTTATACTCTGAGTGTTCTTTAGAACAATAGTTCCCAAGTGCACTAGGATTGAGTTTTTGTAAGTCTACAATAAAACAAGAACAACAAGAAAATATATGAGCATTTGCATAAATCTATTGTAGTAGATTTAAAGGATTCTCTTCTTTTTATTTGGAGATTTTTTTCCCTACTGGCTCTCAAAACTACTTGGTCAATGAGATCTAAAAGTATATAACCACAGGGTTGAAAAACCTGCTTTTATTTTATTTTAGTTTTTATCTTGTTCTATAAAGAGCAAAAACCAAAACAAAACAATTCTGGGGAAAAACCCAATAATGATTCTCACTAATACACAAGTCTCTTGCTGTTGTTTATCTGGAAAGTACTGAGTACACATATAAGCTAGGCCCTAGTACCATTCTACTCTGCCAGAGAAGATGCTCAGTGCTCAGTGAAACTGTCAGAAAAGTGTAAATTCAGAATGAGTCTCTCTTGGTTTGTGTCTGGGTCAGAATTTTCTAGTTACTGGTCTGAGACAGCAGCGCCAGCCCTGGACTTGCCAATCTCTGCTGTCCAGGAGGGCCGCTGCTACTGCCTGCTGAAGAAGCCTAGATCTCCAAGACTGGATTTGATCCATAGCACCTCATGCAATGTTCTGTCCTCTCAGAAGCTCTATGCTTTCTTGGAAAATAAAAAATAAACACAAGGGGTCTCTGATTGGGGATCGTAAGAATGAATTCAATGGGTAAAGAGGACCACGCCATAAAGCATCTGCAGGAGGCATGTGCCCAGGGAACACACCTTTCTGAAGTCACCCGTATCCTCTCATCATTGGATGAGTTGAATCGATCATCCTTTTCTCTGAAATATTCCTCTATGCACTGCTCTTCAAAATCGTGTACTTTTTTGAGCTCGTCATCAGTTATGAAGAGTTCTGTGGAAAAAAAAAAAATGAGAGCCATGAGGCAGGGAAACAACATTGATGGCAGGAATCTGTGGGCCTAATGAAGTTCCTAATGTGAATTAAGGCGGGAAAAAGGGGCCTAGCGTCTAGTCTCAAATGAAATCCAAATCCAATTAGGTGACTTGCATCACTGCCTTCTGAACGCTAGATTCGATCAGAGGCAGCTATTCTGTGGCTATGAAACAAGAGAGCACAAAAGGAAGAGCTTAGCCTAACAACTGAAGGCCTCTGGGCCCTTGACTTCAGGGAACCATCCTTGAGTCTGGATTATCCATCTCCTTACTTTTTGTTATGTGAGAAAAACAAAGCCATATTTATTCGTGCTATTGTTACTCTGGTTTTCTCCTTATAGCAGGTAAACTTATTCATCACTAATAGAGCATGAAAAGAGCCCAGTAGAAATGTGAGCCTTTAAATGGGTTCATGAATTAGGGTTGGGCTGAGAGAGCTAGTTTGGAAGAACCATAAATGAGCAAGTCCTTCTTCTAATCCTGTGCCCTAGAGGTGCCACAGGGATCATCATCTTAAGTGTTTGGAATTCTGAATCTTAGCTCTTTAGGAATTTTCTGTCTTCCTTGCTTTGAGGCTTTTGTTTGAAGTTGCTGGGGGCATGGAAAATATGAATTTAAAAGCAGATGAGAGTAAAGAAAATACCAGAAATCAGACTGCTTTTCTTAAATATGGCAGACTTCTTGAGGTGAGTATAGGGTCTTGATTTAACATTTGAGCAGCCATCTTAAATGTTAACTGCCGTCTTATAAGTTTAGCTTTCCTGTACTTCCTCTTACCTGAACTCCTCCCACCCCCATTAGTAACCTACCCCATGGTACCATAACCCTAAGTCAATCCCAGAAGGATGCGACCCCTTTGATCTGAAAAGCCCCATGGTGCCATGGACCTAAGCCAATCCCATGCTATTCCCCACCTGCCTAGCTCTGACACAAGCATCCCCCAGTCTCTCCCACAGAGCCACAACGACAACTCCAGACCCCTACCCCACAAAAGCTGAGCACCTGAACATCTGGGGCCTCTCTCCTCTCTATAGAGAGATGGCCTTATATTTGTCAGCTTTGACAAATAAACCTTTGTGTGGGTCTCTGTCTGGTCTCTGTCTTTCATTTCTTGCTCACCTGTCTCTCACTTTCTCACTTCCCTTTCAGCGAGGGAGGGCTTTCTCAGAAGTGGACATTTGAGGTTCAGTCATGAAATTACATAGAGCCTTGGGTGGGAGAGAGACCCATGAAAAGAGGCCAGGCATCGCGGCCTGCAAAGTACAGACTCCTTCTTACTATTGCTATATTTGAGCCCAGAAGGAGTGTTCCAAATTCTTACTCTGTTGGCACCTTAATAGCACTTCCTTTGACTTCTTTGGCTAAATGTAATGTTCTTTCTTAAAAAAATAAAATATTATTTAAAAAAAAATCCATCAACATGTCAAATTTTGCAATATAGCTTACATTTTACACTTCAGAGTGCTTTTATCTGAGGCTCTGCAAGAACCTGGCAGTGCCCCGGGATCTTTTAATTAAGGCTACAGATTGACAGTGAAAAGTTCACTTTCCCTTGATTGATATATATATATATATATATAACACAATGCTCTCCTGTCTCCTCGTCATCCTTTCTGACCCAGCCACAGCTCCAAAATCTTCATTCTCTGAGAAATCTCCCTTCCATGTGCCCAGAGACCTGATGAGGGTTTCATTGCCACTATGGGTAACAGCAGTGAGAAAACTATGAGCTAGAGCCTTATGGAGCTGCCTCCTACCTGCTCCAGTGTCTGGCTGGCTCTGGTCTTCTGGTCTGTGAGGGGTGGGTCCTGGAGCAGAAACAGGTCTATGGACTGCTCCACTTTCTATGTTTAATTTCACACTCCTTCCTGAGTACTCTGGATAAGTGACGTTCTCCTTTTACTAAAAATGACCCATGCTTTACTGTAAATGATGTTGGGACCTCCAGTTCACCATCAACTGAGTGTCCATTGCAGGGTATAATTCATTATAACATTCCTCTGCTCCTGATTTTGCAACCCATCATCCTCCATACTGGCCAAAGTCCTGAATAGAAAAGTTCAGGGTTCAACTTGCAGATTATTCTTCACCCCAACCCCAACTTTCTATTTGTCTAAATTTGTGTTTCAGATGGAACCAGTGATTTTGGATGTCCCAGCTCTTTCCAACTCCCCAGTTTTAGTGTCTAGAAAGAAGTAGGGAATTGCTGTCAGGGACATAGTTAAAAGCTTCAGACTTGGAGAAGGACCTGCTTAAGTAGCTTTGGTTTTAAACGTAATCTATATACAGGTATCACACGGAGAGAAGTAGACCACGATTCCAGAGGTCTTGTTCATAGATTTAATGTGAGTGCTTGATTCCATGTACTTGGAGAAACCACTGTAGCTGATCTGTATGCGGCTGGATTCCCAATGTTCTTAACTGAGTGGAGTTGGTACCCAAAGGGCATTTAGGAATCTGCAGGAGTTACTGGTACTTAATGTGGGTGGGTGGATATGCTAATTTTCTGTGATGTGTGGCACAGTCTTACACAAAGAGGAATTGTTCTACCCCAGTGTCAACAGAACTTCCTTTAGAAACCCTGGGCTAGAAGATGGATGGTGGAGTTTCCCGTTTTGTTCTTTGCATAATAGAAAGTAAGGCTTGTTTCTTCATGAGGTCATGTGGGCTCAACTCCTAAGGCTCAGGAAAATGCTTAAGACCTGAAAAAATTATAGATCCAGAAATGACAATGGAGGATCAAACTGAGTCACTGAAACTCAACCTATGTCACAGTGTGTAAAAATGATATATTATGCAGCGTTTGATGCATATTAATATGGTTGATATATCTGGAGGTGGGACCCCTGGGAAGTAAGACGCTTAGGACCTATGAAGGTGCTAAAACAACCCTGCTGGAGACCAATTTTATCTTACTAAGAAAGATGTGAGACTAGGAACACTTAATATCAGCTTCTACTGTCTTCTTTCTAGTACCGTTTCTGCTGCAAGCAGATCTTCCCTTGTGCCCCCTCCCCTAGTCTTCAGAGGGGGAGGATCCAGTCAAGCCAGGACCCTGAATGGCTGCCTGTAAGAAATGGATGGGGTTTCTGACTGTGGTGGTCTGGCTATCAGGCTATCGCTTGAGTCTTACTCAGGCCATAGTCCCTTTCATCTGGGTCGCTCTCGTGCTTCCTCCATCGACAGCAGAGGTGCTGGAATATCATGGTCATGTGGCTGAAGATGATCAGAGGTGGGGGCAGCACTGGCCTTTCATGGAAGGTCATGATGAGCTGATATCTCTGAAACTTCCACACTTGGTTGGATATCGACTTTACCTCAAAAAATGTATTGCTGAAACAGACCAGAGAGAATCAAATAAGAAAACCTGCTGCTTTCTAGAGCATCAATTCCCTCCACCCCATGACCACCCCCCATGTGCTGCAGAAGGGTCCACTCACTTAAAGACAGCAATGAGGAGGTTGACCAGCAGGATGTTTGCCACCAAGAGGTAGCAGGCCATGATGGCCGGCACAATCCATGCTCCTGTCTTGCATGGGGGCAGCTGGATGATTTTACCATCCTCTCGGGTCTCATTCTGTCCACAGGGAGCTGGGGAAGCAACACAGACAAGAAATGAGAGACTCTGGCTACTTGATTTAAAAACAAAACAAAACTGCTTTGAATGAGAGCTTTAGATGGAAGAAAAATACAGCCATCTCGAACAGGAAAAAAAAAAAGGTTCTAAAAAAGCCAAAATAGAAAAAATGAAAGCTGCATGAATATCATAAAGAGCTGCTTCTCCAGAGGGGAGTCAGTTCTCCCTGCTTCCCTGGGCTGTCATCCTATTGGAAGGAGGTTCCTGCTTGCTCACTCTGTCCCTTGACCCCTGACATTCAGTGAGGGATACTTGGTGTTGGAGGATGCCTGGGGAGCGCAGAGAGTCCCACCTCCCCAGCAAGTTACTTTCAAAATGTGCTGTGGAGGCCATCAGCTGTCAGCTTAAGAGCAGCAGTATTGAGGGGCTATTGATTGGGAATTAACACTGGGGCAGCTGTTAATTGCTGCAAGAAACAACCCAAGGGCTCAGAGCTAACGATTTACTGTCTCAGTGCAGGAGGAACAACACAGGGCAGTGCCTTGGGAAGTATTTAGAGGGCTTGTCACTCGGTGCTATTGATGGGTGGGGTTTCACCAGAGGGCAATGGGTAGGTGTGTGAGTGTGTTGGAACCACAGAACCCACAGCCACCTGCTTTTCTCCAGTAGCATTTCCATTCTGAAAATGTGCTTTTCAGGACATGGAGAATAAAACCTGACTGCAGTTAAATAAATGGGCAAATAGGACAAAGGAAAATAAAAAAAGATCTGGAGGTGGGGTGAGGAGGAAGGTGATGTGTGGGACTGGGTGAGCGTGAGTAATGTGCTAATGAGAACTGCTTGGAGCTTCCAGGTAAATGCAGGGGGGAAAAAATCCTTGATGAAGCCACTGACAACGTGGCTCGTGGAGTGAGAGATGCCCACAGGAGCCAGCTCCCTGATGTTGGCCTTAGGACATGGTCCTTCTGCATCTACCGTGAAAGGGAGTTGGGGTGGAGGGAAATAGGAAGAAGCACCAAGAGTAGTGGCCACAGGGTGCTTTTGGTGATGTGCCTAGAAGGTTTGCAAAGCCCACCCAGAATCTATTTGGCTGGAGGACCTGGCAAAGGCAGTCCATTCCATTTTTTAGAGTTCCCGTTGCTAGGCTGTGTTTTGACAGTGATTCTCAATCCTGGCTTCCAGGGATCACCTGGGGAGCCTGAAAAAAACACCAACACTGAGCTGTGCCATCCCATTGGATTAGAATCCCCAGGGGTGCCCTGGGCATTGGCATTGTTTTTCATACTTTCCAGGTGATTCTCAGTTGCTGCAAAGGTTGAACCCACTGAACTTGAATTAGGCTGGTAAAAATGCCATGAGAATTTCTGATAGGCTCTGATTACCAAAACGCATGCTCTCAGGGTAGGAGGGTTTAATGACATCAAGCCACCTACACTCTGTCTTTATGGTCAGGACAAGATGGACAAAGTGCTTCCTCAGGTTCTTCCTGCAAGATGATTGGATGTTGGAACTGGATGCTTTTGAGAAGCAGGAATCTTTTTGTTATTGGCAGTTGAGGCACCGGCCACCCAAGACAGCCCTGTAAGTGGTCCTTATCATTTCCTCCCTTGGAAGGAAAACCCAGTGTCAGAGACCACACTGGTTTCAGGATGAAGCCCAAACTCTGTGTGTGGCTGGCCCAGTGCCATCTCCTGCCACTTCCTACCTCTCCCTCCTGGGCACCAACTGGACTTTCTTGCAGATAGAAATGCCATGCTCTATCTTGTTTCCTGATTTTAAGCCATGCTGTTTCATCTACTTCAAAAGGCTCCTTGATCCCTACAGTCATGCTGGGTGGGTTCCATTCATTCCTTAGTGCTCATCCAGTGTGTTGAAGCCCATTGCAGCTCACCTTCTACCCTCTTCCAGCCATGATGGTGGTAGGTAGCTTCCTTGCAACCTCAGAGCATCCTCTGTTTGTCTCTTGGGGGGCTCTAACTCTGTACTGCCATTAATAATTTACTCATCTACATGCCCCCCAAGATTCCAGTGGGAAAATAGTTCTTCCAGGTTTCCCATCATCTGGCTCAGTGCACACACAGCATACCCATATGCACCCATACATGATCAATGCTTGTAGAAAGAATAACACAATGACACAATTTGGTTGTTGAGCAGTAACACACATTTCCCACACCTGCACAAACCTACTCATGATGCATAGTCCTAGTTCTGGGAGGTTATTAGCTCCTTACACAGGTCCCTTCAGAAGTCCTATCCAGCTTGACAAGAAGAATGTGCTTTGGCTTCTCATATTCAACCAAACTTTGGGATCTTTGTTACCCACTTGACCACAGATCCTGGAATTAAAATTGCTATTCCCCACCTATTCCTCATGCTTCCTCCTGGCCTGACAGTCTGATGGGATGGTTGCTTCCTTGTTCTGCCCTTTCCTCTGGTTCCTGCTCAGATCCCTCTGGGAAGGCAACAGAGAAGAGCAGAAATAATTGCCTGGGGAAAGTCACAAAGCTTATATAATATGTACAAATGCATCTTGGTCTCCATTTCTATCTTCATTCTGAGAAATGTGAAAAAACTTGTAAGAGGCAGAGCTTACCCATCTTGTGAAGCACCTATGCATCTATGTGTGTTTTAAATATATATATATATATATATATATATATATTTTACTTGTAGATGGACACAATACCTTTATTTTATTTTTATGTGGTGCTAAGGATCAAACCTAGTGCCCTCCACATGCAAGGCGAGCACTCTACCACTGAGCTACAACCTTAGCCCGTGTGTGTGTTTTGTACTTGGATTGATCCTAGGGCCTTGTGCATGCTATACAAGCACTCTAACACTGAGCTGCATTCTTAGTCTTTTGAATTTTTTATTTTGAGACAGGGTCTCCTTAAGTTGCACAGGCTGGCTTTGAACTTGTGATCCTCCTGCCTTAGCCTCCTGAGTAGCTGGGATTATAAGTGTGCACCATTTTGTCTTGGCCATCTTATTCTTTTCGATCCCATATTTAGAGAAGGCCATGCAGACACTTCTTTTCTCCAAGCTGAGAGGGGAAACCAGAGAGAAAAGTAGGTGCTTGCATTTCCACTGGCCTTTGGACAGTGCCACAGACCCATCTATAGGTTTCTTGTATTCCTCTGTCTGATTCCTCAAAGATTCTCATTAGTTAAAACTTGGACCAGCCTAATATCTTTATATAAGATTTGACTTGATGTCAATGTGGTTGGCCCTGGGAATTACCTGCCAATCTCTTGGTTATTGATTGATCCAGCTTCCCCCACCTTTCATACATCTTGCCTTGATAGAGACAACACTAGTTTAGTGGCTAGAAACATACATGCATCTTAAAATGCATTGACTCCACCATTTTCAAGTGACCTGACTTTGGCTTACTCTGCAAATGTCACCTTCTTCAACTATGAAAGCTGGTAGCAATACCATATCAAGATTATTATGTGGGATAGTGCATGCAAACCACATGGCTCAGTACCTAATACACAGCACTTGATGAACATCAGTTAATGTCATCATTACTATAATTATTTTTGTAATTAATGGGCTACAGGCTTCTTGGATTTAGGGACTATGTCTTATTTTTATTAGTTTTATAATCATTAGGTATGGCACTTATTACATGGTTTTGATATGCTGGGTACAGGGCATATCAGGAATCAAAGAGAATTCTCATTGTTAAGGAACCCACAATTTAGTAGGGGGCACAGACAAGGAATGAAACACCACATTATTGTGTGGCATGAGCTAATATAGGTTCTGAGGGGACCCTCCTGCTTGACTGCTGCAGTTCCACTGGCCTGGGTCACATGAGTGGACTGGGAGTTGAGACTAGCCTAAGAAACATCATTTATATTCTGCAGCAACAAGTGCAGTGTAAATGAATTAGATGATCCTTGTGACAATGATCATGATATTAAAAGTGAATCATTAAGAGATAGCCTTCATTTGGTAATAGCAGCAAAAAGGCAGTGACATTATATATATGCAGGACCTAGTGTAAAACATTGCTCTATAATGGATTCTAATGATAGCCTTATTCTGGGTATTTATCTACTCAAGATATGATTCAAATTTACAGATGTCTACCACTCATGAAGATGAACTAGGTGTCTTAAGCCCTGATGAGCAGTATATTTCAGGATGGAGGATAGTTATCTGGATTGTCATCTGGCACCAACCAGTACCTGGGGCTCATGCTACCAGGGAAATACCCCAGACACATATTTAAGACAGCCCATGGGTGAACAGTTAGGGACTTGTAGGTTGGTGGCTACCACTGTGTCTCCTTCTCTGCTTTCAGAACCTGACACTTGGGTGGTGTTTCTCCCAGTTCTCTTGCAAAAGCAAATGTATTGTCACCACTGCCTTCCTATCATGTGGCATGTTATCGTTGTCTTCTTTATTGCTGTCAGTGCAGAGTCTCCTTGTAGTGGATGTCTGCAAATTCCACTTGCCTAGTATAAATTGCCCATTCCTCTAGTAAATGTACCCTGGTTTCCCTTTGCAGATTCTCCCAATACCCACTCTCAGTTCATTAAGTTTGGGTAAAATGAACTCCAATTCCATATCTAAAAGAAGATTAACCATCCTGCTTTATCCCTGATTTTCGTGATTGGTACCAGGATGGACATATAACCTGACCTGACCAATCACAGCCAATGAGCATCAGCTTTGGGACTCTTGTTGAAATTAGAAAGTATTGAAAAATATCTTTTTATAATGTAATGTAAGGCCACCAAGAGTTATTTCCTCACAAAGAAAAGAAACTGATTCTTGACCCAGTCATGCCTGAAACTAGCCCTCTACAGTTACATGAGCCATACAATTTCTCCTTTCTCAGGTCAATTTGAATTGGGTTTCTATCACTTTCTATTAAGAGTCCTGCCTAATACAGTCATCTCCACTTCCACCCCTGTCCACAGGCCAATAAAAGATGCTTATATTTTGGGTACCTTATTTCTGAAAGGCTGCATTTGAAGTCTTGGAATAGCAT